AATTTTTGTGAACCCAGATCTTGACTGGACACAAAATACTCAACAGAGTAACCCTACAAAGACACTGGTCATCATGGAAGAAGGCTAACTGAAGCCGAAACAGGTTCAGAGTCTAAACATGAATTACAGAAGAAGACGAAGAACAGTAAAAAATACAAAGTTCCTCATAATGTAATTTTTTTCAATGTACTTGCCATCACCAAATCATTCTTCTTATGTCCAAATATTTACCACAGTTAACCTAAGTTACTCTGGACGAGTGGTTGTGTATTTTAGAATAATTTTAAATTATTTTAAAATGTCCAGTTTGGGCCACAGAACTTAAGCTACCAACGAATACCCTCACTTCTTGTGAAAAGTTTCTAAAATTAGTAAGTAAAATATTTTTTAAAGAATTGTCACATTTAGTTTCTCTACTAAAAATTCTTCTCCTACTCCGAAATAAATCAAAACTCCCCTATTTATTCATTTGTCCACTGTGTCTTAACACTGATTTATAAACACGCGTACCCCATCCTCTAAAACACGTTACTTCTACAGCTTAATTTTATAGAAATATAATTACATAATTTAAATTTTTAAATAAAATAAATCATAAATTTAGTTTAAATGACTCTTCTGATGAAGTAAGAGAGGGTCGCTACTTATAGGCTAGAAATTATTTCACGTCACCCAGGCAGCGAGCCCAGTTCGTTGGCTTCACGGAGCTACAGCAGCTGCCGATTCAAATCCCTCACTGACAGGCGTCTCTGTAGCTTCAGGCAGGCCGGCAAGCGATATTTTGATGCCCGTACGAGTGAAACGTCTACAACAAAGGCTTTTTAATGCTTTTATCTGAATTCGCCAAGTTGAATGACGTGCAGTAACCAAAGTCATAAACAAATCTGAACTGAAATTGATTCCTAAATGATTAAAATCGACGATCAGCTAACAATGAACACGCATGTAAGTTAAGAGTTTCAGATTACTATCACGCTAATGATAATGGTTGACTGCAGAGGCGATGAATGTACTCAAAAAGATAGTTATTGACCGATAAATAACGAAATTTGGAAATTGAGTATTTGTTTTGTGAGTTTATTTTGGTCAATTAAAATATTCACGTGTAGGTATTACTGGGGATACTGGGAACGACCCGTTCTTCAAGTGCCTGAGCACTGCGGGTCCCAACTTTCGTTGGCTTTGATCTATTAGACATTCGGTAGGACTCCTTGGACGAGGGATCGGCCCGTCGCAAGGCCTCTACCTGTACACAGGACAACGTAAACAAACATCCATGGCTTGAGTGGGATTCGAACCCACGGTCCCAGCGATTAAAATAATAAACTACTCTAAATTTGAATATACCAAAGACGACACAGTCTAGAACTAACTATCCATTTATTAAGAACATCGAAATCAGAACACATTAAAATTATTCATTATACATCTCCATAAAGCAAAATCCTTTTTGAAGAGATGAAATTCACTTAGCTGGTCAATATTTTTTATATTTAACAATCGAAAGTTTCAGTAAACCTACAGCGTCTTGAATAGCCAACCATTAGACCCTAACTTCAACCACTCTCTTTCTTCTAAGATCAATTTAATATTGTTTTCCATTTAGCCTAGATGTTTCAACTAAAATTTCGTTTGCATTTCTAATTTCCCCAATACGTGCTCCATGTCCCCAATTATGGTTTCTCTCAGCATATAATTTTATTATTATTATTATTATTATTTAATATGTAAGCTCAGGAAATATTTCTAGCTGCATTACAGTTTTCCCCTAATTTAAACGAGCGTCAGACAGCGAATCAAGTGTTTTTAAGAATAAATTCCGAATTATTGTCAAACACGTTTAATAAGCTCATAGCCTATGTATACTTCAGTGTGTCCGTTTCTTGTTTTTATTTTGTGTTTGTATTCAACCACAAAGAAGAGTTTAATTCGAAGCTCTTATAAGCCTAGCCTAATATCCCATTTTGACAATATCAAAGTCGGTTGAACTCGCAAGTTTAATTTACGCTGCTGACTTAAACGTGTATAAGCGTAATTTAAAATTACAGTGAAGAGCTATGGATGTAACATGAAGAAGACCTAATGGGTTTTGGAGAAACAGAAGTATGTGTAGTTTATGTTTATCCTCTTAGTTAATTCATATCGGCCTAAGTTTGACCTTATTCAGTTACTTAGCCGATTAGCTATTTCGTTATTACTTACGACACAAACGTTCAGAAACTTTCGAGCATATTTTATTTTTAATTGACAATTCGACACAAAAAACATGTCATCAAAATAATTCTTTTTCTTGAACAGGCTTACCGATTACAAATGAACAATACAGCCGAGTGGTTAGCACTCCTTTATGTAGGCTAGGTCCCTCATTCAAATGCCAGCAAGGAGACAGACTTCCCCGGTTCAAGGTTTCGTAGTCTTCCTCAGACCCTTCTAGCAAAAAAACACGATTATCACCTAAAATTATGCCAGGAATATTTTAATCCACATCCTCTGAAATTCAGTATTTACTAGTCGTTACATCATAACGCCAGCCTAAACTTTTGAATGCGTCTTAAAATAAGCAAAGATTAAATATTTTACAAGTAAATAATAATGCGACTAATCTGTACGAGGAGATAATTACAGCATATGGCCTATGTAGACCTATAGTATTAGTCACATTAATAGAATTATTTTATTTAAGCCTACGTGATTATTTTATTGAGTACGCCTATTTGAAGATAGTAGGCCTATACGAGTACTTACGCATGAGGTAGTAAACCAACATGACGTCACAATTAACGTCCATGTGTTGATTCGAAAGCGACTATTTATAATGTTAATTTGTTAAGACGACATTTCTAACCAACAGTGTCTATAGATCGTACATAAAAATCCCCTCTAGGCCAACTGGGAAATTTCAAGAAGGCTGTTAAAATAATTAGGCTAGAGTCCGGTTCCTACTTTGGGACCCAGTTAAATTGAAACCAAACATTTAGGAATTTAACAAGAGTTGTATACAAAATTTTGGTTTGAAAATCTCAAGGAAACATAGGCGTTATTACTTGGAAAATTTTAGAGTAGAAAATATGATAATATTAAAATGGATTTTATAGAAATTGTGAAGAATTTCGCTCAACTGCTACACAACAGTGTAACTTATTCAATGGCGAAACTTCTCGGGAAACGAAAAAAAATCTCGGTACCCATGTGTGTGAAGAAATTGCAGGTGGCCGTTAAACTGAGGTTCTGCACACTTTAATCCTCCTCACGCATTAACAGTGGCTAAGCAGCTACTACACTTAAAATTTAGTTCCATGCCCATGTAACGTCTTAGTGACGTAAACCCATAACTGCAGTTAAGTTGTTTCGTATGTAAATGCATTTCGTGTACAATAAAAGTGAGATAAAACTTTCAAAGACACTTCGCTGTCACTTCACTTCCAACAGGAATTAGGCCTAGTAAGTAACTACATGTTAATTTTAAGCGCTGTTCGTTTGTTTTTGTTGCTTCGTAAAATTGTCTTGAACCTAGACCACGAATGGCATACGAACGGAACAAAATATCCCCAAATTCATATTATAACATCTGGTGTGTCAAATTTATGAAAATTATAATTCTATTCAAATCCTATTACTTGCTAATTCGAAATACCAGGTGTCCAAAAAAATTCTTGTATCGACTGCTCATAATGTGGGCACATTTCTCTTGATATTACTTTCGATGAGCTACCCAGTGCTTCGAAGTCATAACGTACATGGCCTACCTTAGTTTTCAGAATCACTACAAAACTGATCACGCATAAATTCTTCTGAAATATTTTGCTTCTCGCTCCACTATCCTTGCCTCAAGATTGAAAAACTGTCGCGATACAAATCCACGTCACTTCGCCCTCCTTACATTGACGCATAAAAACTTCGAATGAAAATAGATTTTATTAAAATACAGGACGAAAATTGTACGAACGAATTCTAACTTCGATTACATACAGCCCAGTGTCGTCTACAAGCCATAGTTTTCTTACAACAGCCCTGCCAAGGCCTACTATTAATCTGACCTTTATTTCAGGCCTTACATATCATATTTTATTCCAGAAGTTCTACGGATATTCTGACCTGTTCATATCATAACAATAAATGCCTTCATGTCCACTTTAACATCTGCTGTCTAATTCCATATACTACTTACTACATAGCCTTCTTTAATTTAAGATATTTCCACTAAAACCTAAGTTATGTCTCTATTTCAACTTCAGATAATTAAGCTGTTAGCCTATCTTCGTAATTATTATGGGCTATAATAAAAAGCCTACTTATGTTTAAGTAGAATTTGGGGTTTTCTCAGCGGTGAGCACGAAATTCGTTGTCTTCTGGGTTGTAGAATCATGAAGATGGTAGAATTTTACAAACGTTTCAGATTTCCTTGCTTGTAACATCTGCCCTGGTGATGGAGGCAGCAGAGACCTCCGAAACGATGATAAACTTTTAACAGATTACACGGCGCAACAATCCAGAAGACAGTCATATTCAGTCTCATGCTTACCTAAAAAGCAAGTTTATTAAAATAGTGAGATTTAAGGTTCTCATGGCTTCTGGGTTGTTGCGCCGTGTAGTTTGGTAGACGTTTACTGACGTTTCAGGATCACGTGTTTTGGTCCTAATGTTTAATTCGTAAATAATACGTGAAAAAACGCCATTACAGTATCTAACAGTCGAACGTAAACCCTACATAAGCTTAAATTTAACTTTATCAAAACTTTTATAAAAATGACTCATCTAACGCTTACAGAAATTTGTAGACTACATGACACAAACATTAGACCTTATTAAGATCAGTAACTCAGAATTTTTTTAAATGTTGTTATATTGTTCACCATTTTTGAAGTGTCTAACATATTATAAAAAATATCAGACAGTCCGTATGCAAAACAGTGCCCCTGCTGTTTATCAGGTGTCAGTAATAAATGAATATTGACAAAAATGAGAGATAAATAATATAAATTTATGGTCTCGTTACTTACCAAAACAGAAAGCCGGAGTTCGCGTGTCGAAACACGGGCGTTTTAATCCGCCGTGTTACCCCTGGACAGGATCTATTGCCGATGCGTCTACCGACCTACGCCATCCACAAGTTTAAAGTCAACTGTCGTCTCCACGCCAGAGTTTTCAACTGGACTAATATTCAACACGTAAATTATTAGACCCATTTCGCTGTTTACAAATGGGCCTAGTATGAGTTGTTTTGAACCGTGTTCGTGAGCTGTATAAAACCGCTGGGTCTGACGTAAAACTCGCACAAATATATAGAGAAGCTTCGGTAACTGGTTTGTGTTCCGAAAGCCAGGACGTTCATTTCCGCCCAAGATACTCCCCTGTCCCCCTCACCTAAGTTTCTTTCGTAAAAGTTTTACATAGCAAAACAAAACGTTGAATAAACTCAACATCTTTAAGGACAAACACACTGAACTGTCCTTGCCACTAGAGGCCAAGTCGTAAATGTTATTATTTATTTACTTTTTATTTAACGAAGCTGCCGGTAACTAAAACTATAGGCCTATAGTAGTGAATGGTAGAATAAATAATTAAATAATCAAAAACTAGGATTGCTGTCTTCTGGGTTATTGCGCCCTGATGATGGAGGCAGCATTGACCTCTGAAACGTTAGTTAACATCGACCAGACTACACAGCGCAACAACCCAGAAGATAGAAATCTTCATACTCTGATGACGGAGGCAGTATGACCTCAGAAACGTTGGGAAACATCGACCAGACTACACAGCGCAACAACCCAGAAGATAGAAATCTTCATACTCTGATGACGGAGGCAGTATGACCTCAGAAACGTTGGGAAACATCGACCAGACTACACAGCGCAACAACCCAGAAGATAGAAATCTTCATACTCTGATGACGGAGGCAGTATGACCTCAGAAACGTTGGGAAACATCGACCAGACTACACAGCGCAACAACCCAGAAGATAGAAATCTTCATACTCTGATGACGGAGGCAGTATGACCTCAGAAACGTTGGGAAACATCGACCAGACTACACAGCGCAACAACCCAGAAGATAGAAATCTTCAAACTCACCACCGTGAAAACCTCAAATCCTACAATTAAAAAGGATATTGAAATACGATGTCCTGACCTGATTTAAGGTACTGCTCAGCTTGTAAACACTGAGGAAAAAGATGAAGAATCAGTCAGGACAGTTAGTTTCTGGGCCGATATATGAACCGAGAATACTGGTTTGTACGTCAAGGGTATTAAAACAGAGCTTACAACAAGGTGAAGCAAGCATTAGTTCATGTTTGTCTCACTGGATGTCACAACAAATTATTTCGCCAGGGAAGATATAAATCATACATATATCAGACAACGTTATAACTTTAATTTATTTTATTTATTCTATATTATTATTCTCTACTATGTTTTGTTTAATTCTATCGTATTTATTCTTTTGAACATTTCACACTAGGTATATAATAAGTAGAATTTACTACGATATTCAAATATTAATTCACGCTGATACGATGTGTTTCCAGATAAAAATTCAATTTTATTTTTCTAAGGCAAGTTTTAAATTCCAATCTACTGACCGTTTTACAGCATAATTTTCAATTTCTTAGAAGTGAATTGTGGTAATATTAAAATGAGAGTCGTAGATCTCTATCAGGTGTTACAGAGGGCCTGATATGGAAATTTCATAGGCCTACTTAACTGATTGAAATCGATTATTGGTGAAGCAAAATCGATATCCTTCAGCTAGATTGATTTCATGATGAAAAAATCCTCAACAAATGCCTAATTATGTAGGATTCGATCGACCTGATGATGGAGGCAGCAAGGACTTCCGAAACGTCGGTAAACTTCTACCAGACTACACTGCGCAACAACCCAGAAGACAGTCATCTTCAAACGCCAAATTCTGTTACAGTTTGCTAAAATCGATCGACAAAGTTATAAAACCTCCTGCTATTTGGTGAAAATATTTACAATTCAAATTCGTTTTTCCGACATCTCGACGTTAGATGGCAGTAAAACTCAGCGCATTCATTGCGTGCCAACGACATAAAATAGGCAGTCTTGGTTCACATAAGGTATTTAACCGGAAGTGTGTCACAGTTGGCTACTGGAGAGGAAAGGGGCGTGGCCTGTCCGACACATGTCAATCACTGACTCCGCCCATGTGTAAAGTCCGCCTACTGTTACCCCTGCGCCAACCGCATTCTGCATGATTTAAATGAACCCAGAACAGTGATAACAAGACGCGTATGTTTAATGTTCATTATGTCGTCTGGGAGTGACATTAGTTGTCACCATTAGCCCACTAGAGCAATGGGAAATATCAATTCTATTCAGACCCAGTTCTCAGCGAGCATTTCCCTGAATGCGGAATTTATAACATTCCGTTGTTACAGAAAACAATTATTAAAAGTACTCGTAATATGAATTTTAAAGCTCCAAATAATTTCACTTTCGCTTTTACAACTGACTAAATAATTAATGTATCAACACACAATTTAGACCGGTTATTGTCAAGAAACAATTCCAAAAAAAGTTATCATATCGTTATATTCCGTGTTTAAAAAGAATTAAACTTTCAATGAGTTAATACAAATTGCATTGTTTTCGAATGTCTGTTATCAGCTTCTAATAGAGTTAATCTTTAACACATCACGCGAACTCTCATGAATATTACGTTGAAATTTTTGTTGAAGAGAAGATATAAGACACGGTCAATTACTGACAGTAACATTTAAGAATTAAAATCTGAATCAGACTTCTTTATAAAAAATCACAAAAATTATTAAAGGACTTTCGCACTAAAAACTGGAAATAGATGGTTATTGTGACACGTAATAATTACCGGAAGAGATTATGAGATTCTGAGTGTGGGAAGTCACAATCATTTAAATCTGTATTAAGAAAAAGTTCGGTATATATTAAATGTTGTCCGTCTAATCACAATAATTCTTATTAAATATTAAAATATTACAATAATTAACATTTAAAATATTTAAAACATTAAATGATGTTCTTTATAGAAATATTCGATTTACATTAGACCATCATTTTTTCATGTTTCACGACATGTTTCGGTTCCTAAAAGAACCATCCTCGGTGATGAAAATTAAATTTATATTTAAGATGTTATCAATTGTAAGATGTACCTTTTATTTAGTCATATGTACTTAGGGGAAAAAACGTAATATTTCAAAAGAAATTATCAACATATAAATATAAATCTACTTTGTATTAATATTTAAGGAATTTCCTTTGTTTACTGCTCCATAACTAGTGTTACGGACATGAAGATTTGCCTTGAATATTAGTCAAAAGATATAATTTTTCGACATCGATTCTTAGAAGCCGTCAAACCCAAGAAACAACCCGATTTCAGAAAGTTTAAATTGTAAAAAAAGTGCGTCTTTAAATTGAGGAAATACGGTATACCCTATTACCAACGGATAATAATTAATGTAGAGATTTATAATCTCGCTCGTAAGAGGCCGAGATGAACAGTTAATTACATCATTAATTATTATATTTCAGCCGTTAAGCGCGTAGGCGGGCTTCTTCTGTTTATAATTTACGATGACGAATAAATTGACACTTATTGAAATTAAAACTTAACAAATCACGTAAAATCTCTTATATAAATCCATTATTTAATAAATAATTATGTACATAGGCCAATTGAATAAAATTAAATGTAAAATGAAAATATTGTTAAGTAAAATGTAGGTCTCTGTATTAAATTCGTTTCAACACACAAAAATAAAAATAAATAGTCCTGTAGTCTGTCTCATTCATGTACTTTTTCTGAGACCGACAAAAATGAAGACAAAATTCAGAAAATTTTCCATAAAAGCCTGTGGAAAATAAACGACAATATTTTGAACGCCATGTTATTGTTGACGGTAAATTTATTCTTAGGTCACATAATTACGCCTTTCCTTCGTGTGTCTAAGTTATTAGCAATTGTAGGCAGTTTGTATTTGTCTTAATCAACAATGACTTACTTCACATTGTTTAATGAATAGTATTATTTATTATTTGGGTTTGCGTGTTCATATTTCTGTAATAGACTTAGTTTTGACTTAATGTTCTCGAGATTATTTAAACACTTTGTAATAGTCGTAGGCTCAGCAAATAGGTGGGAAAGATATGTCAATCGCTTTTAAATTGCAAAGAAGCAATATCGTTCAAGGGAACAGGGCTTTATCTATATTTTGTTCAATATGATATCGGAATTTAGTAAAAAAAAAAATAATTTGGTTATAGAAAAATAACCTAGAATTATGTGGGTCAATTCTAAATTTTTGTTTAATTAAATTACGATGAAAGTGTAAGTAGGGGAAACTGTGGAAGACTGAGTGTTATTACTCAGAAAATTAAATCGTAATGAACGAAGGGCAACTACAGAAAGAAAGTGATTTAAGGTCCCTACGTCTGTAAAGGATCCTCTGTAGAGGAAGACCTACACAAGACACTCGAAAATAATATCGGGGTCGAATCCTACTTTGAAATTTGTGACAGAATCTTAAAAGAATTTAAAATATTTCTGACCTATATAAGTGGATTATACCACTAAGTGATTTATAGCAGTGTAGTATTCTAAACGAGGGATTTATTCATCCTGAACTATGTGATGAAGAACACATGAAAGATAAAAAAAAGCAGACATTTTAATAGGTCAAATTTTCACTAAAAATAATTTTGAAAAATGGTGGAAAACAACCGGCAGTGTTTGGTGTACTAATGAAGATTATTTTCAATATTTTAAATCCCTCTTATTTTAAATTCACGCTGCGATTGGCAACATTTAAATACTGTGCTAGAAAAAAAATAGGGTTCATATAGAATCAATGTCAAAATGGCTTTGAGTTACGGCAACAATTATTATAACGGAAATCCGTTGATTACGAGAATCGAAAGAAATGTAACGTTTGCACGATTTATTGGAAATATTTGTGAGCATCACACAACTTCGACTTTTAGTTACAGAATTGAAGTTATATTCAATTATGCGAACTCTTCCATAGACTAAATCTTGTTCTTCAGTTATGAATCGAGAAAAAAAAATATATTTCTCGGATTACGACATGCAACAACGTCATTTAAATTAGCGTGAGATCTCGCCAACCCACATCGCTAACAACGATACGATCTTCAGAAAGATGGAATCTATAGATTACACCACAGAGCGCCGTTTGCTTATGAAGGAGGGAAGCAGACGGGATGATTGGGGGCGTGGAGGGGGGGGTCTGGAACCAAAGACCAATTTTCCAACTCCATTTTTCCTTGGCG